GCATGTTTCGTTCTCTATGGCAGACACAACACAAAGCTGATGTATCCGTGTGTCAGGTTGAAGTTTAGCACATGCTCACAATGCCATGCACAAGCAGTAGGAGGGCCCAGATGAAACTGGATATATTATTATACCTCTGGCTCACACCGTCACTTTCCCTTCCCTCCTGCCCCACCCAAGAGTTCAGTGAATACAGAAACAGTCACAGAGGAATCCAGGCAGACTGGTTTTTTCAGAGCCCACTGTCTATTATGAGAGGACTAATACATGCAACATGGGAAAGAGAGGAAGAAGAGGCAGAGTAAGAAGTTAGAGATGGATGTAGTGAAAGATAGAAACATTTAATAAAAAAGTAATCTATGAAGGGATTTCAAATGTGCATGTTGTATAAACAGTAGCAATGCTTATACCTGCGGTATAAAAAAACTGGCTCAGACCTGGCAAGAGAGAGAAAACTATCCTGTTCCTAACTGCCATTTAATGCCTGAAGCGCCTCTAAATTGCCAACACGGTACATTTCCTCTCACAATTGGAGCAAGGAGTGTTATATAACTTGTGTATTTGTGTGTGGATCTATTACTGTGTTGTATAACTTGTGTTTTTGTGTGTGTGTGTGGATGCATCACTGTGCGACACTATCTGATATCTTAAAATGCTTTGATTCACAGCTGGGATTCAGCAAATCTCTTTTTGTTAATGACACCACCACAGCAGTGCACAGGTTGGCACAAGTAATCGAGTGAATGTGACGGACGAGTCGAACGGCACCACGTCCAATGAGAGGTATAGTTTGCTCCTGTGTGTTTGTATCTGCATGTATTCTGATTTATAGGCACATTGGGGCCAAAATCAACCCAACTGTTTCATGAGGATTCAATGTTCTGTCTCTCTGCCTCTTTTTCCTCCATGCCTGTGTGTGTGCTTGTAGATGGAAGCCAACATGTTTAGACACTGCTGTGGCCCCACCCTTGCAACACGGAGAGTATAATTACATTCTTCACAAAATTATCTTGTTGAGAGAGCAACCAGTTAAGAGGCAATCATGTGTAGTGCGTACTAGAGATCGCTTTTAGTTTCATAAATAATCCTGCTGTGTCCTAATGAGGATATTTCATGTTTGTGTATATAAAGGGGTGAGTGTTTTAGCTGCAGTGTGTGTGAGATTAAACCCGTTTTTAAGGCGAGAGTCCCAAAACAACAGTCAATGTGGTAAGACAAAGTTATCTGCAGTGAAAGTCACTGAAGTTGTGCGATTGTTTAATCAGTGTGTCCATTTACGGTTTAAAGATAAAATATCTGTTGTGGCCTTGAGGGAACTGAGCAGACTAATATGAAACAATAACCCAATTATTAAACTGTTGCTTTCAGACACTTGCTCCATAAATACAGATGGTGGCAGTAACACAATAACCTGGGTTTTTGTGTGAGTTTTGCTTGCTTTCATGAAGTTAATAGATTATTTTGAATGTGCACATAGTACATAAAGGATTTATAAAAAAATAAATAGCAAACTCAGTCAAATAAAACTTAGCTCTCCCAAAATGATTGCTACATTTGTAAAGTTGAAATATTTCGTTACTTTGTTCTGTTGTTTTTTTTTCTGCCGAGGTTTGTTTGATAAGAAATTGACATTAACAGCTTTGAAAAGAGGGCCTTGATTGTCATAACTGTCACGTTTGCTGGATGTCTTTTCAAAGTTTGATGATAAGACTGATACTACTCTCATGTTTGTATGATCTAAATAAAGGCTACAACTAGTTGCTAATTAGCTTAGCTTTGAACAAAGACTGGAAATATGAGGGAACAGCTAGCCCGACTCTGTCAAAAGAGAACACAATTGCAAACTAATATCTCAACAGAGCTCACTAGTCAACATGTTAGATATTGTTTGTCCAATCCATCAGCACAACAACACCCTGAGGGTCCTTTGAACACTTGCTGGATGGGTGTGAATAAATATTATCTTAACCTTTTTGACAGAGCCAGCTAGCTGTTCCCTCCTGTTATCAGTCACTATGCTAAGCTATTCTAAGCACATCTGACAGAAGTGTCATATGAACCAGACGGATATGAGAACTGTGTTAAACTTTTCATCTAATTTATGACAAAAAAAAGTGTATCTGACAAAATATGAAACCATTGTCACAAAGTGCTCTTCTAAGAACATAGTTCCTTCTGTTGATTTGTCATTACATTGCATATTATAACTTACACATTGTATGTTATATTTTGTTTTTGATAACATGTTTTCCACACTTTTTTTTTTATTGCATAACCTGAGGAGTTGGAGACAGAAGTATTACAAAATAGATTCTCAACATGCAGAGTCCATTCTCTATAACAAACTTTAGGAATTAGGAGCTGTATTCATAATCACTCTTTCTCTGGGAAACTCTTTAAGGTTACTGACACTTTTCGCTGATCCATACAAACTTGTGAATATGTTTAATTACTGCATTAATTTAAAAACCAACATGTGAAGCTTCATCCAGAACATTCACATGTCATTTATGTCATCATTCATATAATGCTTTGAGGGCTTATTACAGGGTTTCTGCTCTCATTACAAATCTTTACCAAATACAGGTTGTGATTCTTCTAAAAATTCAGAATCTTTTTGAAGTGCAAACATCCCAAAATCACTAAAGCAGTGATTCTAGTGAAAAGATGGCTTCAGAGGGGATTTCACAGATGTTACAGCACAGTTGATTGTTTTTATGTTTGAGGCTCATGGTTGTTCTGAGGCTAATTTTTTTTGTCTGGAAGATTGATGACAAGTATTTCCTAGAATGTATTTTTTAGAGAAATGTGTGTGTGATATATCTTTTTGAGCTTTTCCTGTCACTATCTGTACATATAATAAATAACAAATATGAAAACAACATCATAGGCTTGTATTTTTTTTTCTTGTTCACTTCCCAACTTTAAAGAACATTTAAATCTGCTAATGAGAGATTCATACTTTGCCTGAATTTTCATGTTTACTCAATAAGAGCCATTTTGGAAGACACATCATCCCTGGTTATCATTTCTTGTAAATGTCTTGAAGTCATTAAGCTCCAAGTTCACATTCCAGCAGATTTTCTGTGGTGTGTGCATGCCGTTCTCTGACTCCGAGACAACTATAAAAAACAAAGTGTAAAGCCTTTCAGCTGTATTTTCTAAATGATGTGTGGGAGTCTGACTGAAGCATGTATGGTGAGTTTTCATTGATTTATTCTAAATCATCTTTTGTGTTTTTGTTTTTCTTTGCACAAAGCAGAAAAAAAACACCTTTGTCATGTCTAACTATATCAATATACTTGGGGGCACCAGTAGCATAGTGGTTAGTGTGCACGCCCAATGTAGAGAGACTATGGTCATCAAATTGGACGTCCCAGCCTCTAATCAGACCCGTGGCTCTTTTTTCCCCGTCATTCCCCACTCTCTATCCACTGTCCTCTTTCTAAATACTGTTAAGACATAGAAAGCCCCCCAAAAATCCTTACAAAAAATACAGTTAAAAATAATTTCTGCATGTTTAGTTACATGCATTGCACATTTTTGCTTTCTGCTAGCATGTTTAGACCAAGCAGCAACCTCTGTGTTGAAAAATGAAGCCAATGCAGAAGAGCAAAATCCTGCAGTTCTTTGAGGGTCTGCTTGAGGCTGGCTGCAGGAGCCCCACAAGTCACATACACACCCCTTTAAAATTTGCCTGTGTTTACTGTGCAAATGAACATATTTACAGCCTGGTACAAAAAGTAACATCGGTCTGATTAGTAATTGCCCTCATGGGCACACTGTACGGGGGATGTATTTTCCTCAGCTCCAGCTCTCAGCCTGTCATTAGGTTGTCTTAAAGTTAGGCTGAGACAGCATTTCCAGCGGCTGCTGCCGATGAGCCTCCAGAGCCCCTGCAGTAACAGATGTGTGACGTCACTCAGGATTTGTCCATTAATATTTACAGTTTATGGTTTTGACACTTACATTTGTATATATTCTGTCTTTGAATGCAACATGACATGTCATCTTATGTACTGTATCTGTTTTGAGTTACATATGCCAGCAGGCTTTTTGTGACACAGCATAGAGCAGTAAATCAAAGAGCAGATGCTCATTTATCAACTCCTTATTGTGATGAAATTAGAAAACACACTAAAATAAATCTTCATTGCCTTACTCTGAGGGGAGCTAATAGTTTTGTATACTGTCATTGAACTAGAAATGTTCTGAAAGTTGTTTGATTAGGTTTATTTTAGGACACAGTAGATTTATATAGTAGAGATGCTAATAGTAGATCAGCATCTCAAAATAAACGTGCAGCAACTCCACCCTAGAACACAACAAGTAGGTTTGTGGTGAAGTGTGTTTGCTTTTAATCAAATGAGAGAAGTTTAGTGAAATCTGGCAACAAAATTACAATTCATTCTATCACCGAATGAAATCACAGTTTCATAACAAGTTGTACCTTTTCCAGCTCATTGGCTGCCACATTGGATCCACAACAATGACTTAAGCGATATGTAGTTTTTGCATCTCCATGCAATACTCACATACTCTGATAAAAAGCAAGTGTTGTCCTGTACTTTTTATTTGTATTTTTTAGAGACGCTGAAGAAAAGTTGGAAACCAGCTGGATGAGGAGACACCTTTCTTCGAATGAGGGGTTTCCACCCTGGATTACAGGCATATGATTAATTATCTGTGTGTGTGTGTGTGTGTGTGTGTGTGTGTGTGTGTGTGTGTGTGTGTGTGTGTGTGTGTGTGTGTGTGTGTGTGTGTGTGTGTGTGTGTGTGTGTGTGTGTGTGTGTGTGTGTGTGTGTGTGTGTGTGTATTGCATGGAGGTCTGGGCGTTGGCCCACATCACATCATATCAGTCTCAGTCATGTCAGAGCCTGTCTATGAGTGGGAATATGTCTCTTCCTGCCTTTGCTTTAGGCTTTCAACATTCATGTCTTGAATGTATTGTGGAGTAATTTTACTCTCTGTGAATTAATCTAACAAAGAAAAATAAGGGAATGGTTGAATAAAGACAGTTTTATTGACACTAAAGTAAACTGAAGCTTTGAGTTGGGGCGAAACAAAAGGATGTGATGATGAGGTGAGATTGGGGTGTGGTAGGAAATCAAAGGCTTGGATTAAGTATTAACTGCAGGGCTGGGCTGATGGCTTCACTTCTCATTCAGCATGTCGGCATCTATTTCCTCAGACCTCTCTTGGTCCTCTTGGATCTGTTAAAGACAAGAAAAAGTCTCATGAGGCTAAAGGCTGCAGCACAACTTGTTTGTCTGCAAAAAGCACAGAGACTGTTGCAACTTGACATTAAGAGTTTGCAGATTCCTCTGTCATTCACTCCAAAAAAAAAGAAAAGGGAAGACTATTATGACAAAGACATTCAAAGAAGGAGTCTTTCAGCGTGTCATCAACTGGTGTGACAGATGACCTGACTGCCCGCCACACCCAGTTAGACAGCCAGCTCTCCCAGTCAGCCTCCAGGGGATTTGAAAGCTTTTAAAGATGAGTAAAGTAAGACCAGGGCTGTTTTGGCATACATCGCTCAGGACTTTTTGGCTAGCGAATGATCTAAAAAGAGAAGCAGTGAAGTAAGCCATTGTAACCCTTTATTGGACGGTTGGATCATCAGCAAATATTCAACATGCAGCAGTGAAACCATCTATCTAAATCTTAGTCCTCTCAAATGTATGAATGATTTCTAAACTCCCGTTCCTACAAAACACTTAGGAGAAAGCTGTTCTCATACAGTTACATTTCTCTAAACATACATGGAATTCTTGAGGTGTTCCAGTTAAAGTAGTTCTTAAATCTTTTTCAGGCGCTTTTATTAGCCACTGACTCTGGGAACTCATCCATTTGTTATCCTTTTGAGTCACACAGCTGCATTCAACACATTAAACGATGAGCATAGTCATGGTCTGTTCCAGATCATTATATCTACTCACTTTTTTTTTAAATACATCCTCCCCTTAAAGTCCATTCTTCAGAGAATATGGGTTTTTATGTTCCACTATACGCAGACAACACAACAACACATTTTCCTGCCCTTAAAATAGAGAGACACTAACTCTTTAAAACATGGTTTAACCGTCTCAAGAACATCCAGCTTGGAAGGCCTTACATATCATTTTTAAGTGTAATTTACTAGGAGTGAATTTGAAATAAACAAACCCCTTACCCAAATTATGCCCCTATGGCCTACCACAGGGCCCTTATTGGCCATCACAACCCAAACAGCATTGCCACCGTCACCAGACCCAGTCAACAGAAATTTCTGTAGTTATTTAGATTCTAATGTACAGACGTCATCAGGTTTATTCACTGTTCTCTAATGTCAGTCAGACCTGATAGAGTTCAGCTGTGATTAGAACACCAAGGACAGCTTAGGGAGTGTCAACTGTCTAAGTTTGTGTGAAGTCAAGTCTTAGTAATTTCCTCAACACTACCTACCCTACCACACGGCCCCTTCTGGCCCCCACATCTCAACCATGTAGACTGTTGGGCAGCAAGAGCCAAGACATCAGCAGGGTTGACAATTAGGACATTAGAGTCTTTTTTTTTTTTTGACTCATTGGTGTCTGTAATGTTACTGATATTAACCACAAACAATAAGTGAAATGTGGGTGTGATAATGGATATTGATTTCAAATTGGATACATTTGAATAAAGTCAGATATAAAGTCTTGCTTTTTCCAGCTGAGGTTTTTGTAAAAGGTCAAATATTTATCGGGTGTAATAGTTGCACATTTCCTCTCTACTGGCCTCTCCTCACAGATCGTTTCCTGTGCCTTTCTTTTCATCTTTTTTATCCTTATCCTTTAACACTATAGCTAGACTATGAATTTTGAACATAAGTGAGGAGAATTCATCTGTATGAAATTGTCCTCGGCAACATAGAGGGGATAAAATTCTAGATTCTTACGTTTTCTGATGATCACTGACACGATTCCTCAGCACATTAATCTGGAAAAAAAATAAAAATTAATATTCTATAAGGTAAATTTAGATCTTTGTTTTATAATGTTGTATACTGCAACACATACACACCTCATATTTCTGTCTGCCAAATTCATACTGCAGTTCAAACTTTTCTGCCTCCAGCTCGTACATCCACTCCCACAGCTCTTGAGCTTTCTCCCTGTAGGACACAACCAGAAACAATAGATCAGTGTGGTTTGTGATGTTTTGATGTTGAAGGGTTATTCAAGCCTAATACAGATCATAGGGGGGAAATAACAATCTGAGGTGAAATGACACAATATATCTCCACTTACTTGAGTTTGTCCTGGCTCAAGTTGTTTATGTCCAGAGTTTTGCGTCTATCACTCAGGATCTTCTTCTTCTTCTCTCTCTCAGTCTGCCTCTTACCGCTTCGTTTTTCCGTCTTTGGGGGAAGTGAAAAAAAAGAACATGGCTCTGGTCTCTATCCTTAACGTTTTGACTTCCAGCACCCTCTCATTATAAAACCTCCACCTACATACCAGCTTCTGCATGTAGCCTCCAAAGTGGAGACTGGTGAGGGTCTTCTTCTTCTTAGCATCATCATCGGCCCTCTTCTTGGCCTCTTCCTCCTCCTTACGAGTTCTCTCATCCTAAGAAAAACATGTATCCAGAGAGAAACAGAGGACCAGAGGAGGCTTGGTAAAATGCGAGAAAGAAAATTGCATCAAAGCAGCTTGAACTCGACTCTACCTCAAGACGCTTCTGTCGTTCTTTATCTCTCTCACTGCGGATTCTTTGCTGCTCCGCGCGCTCAGACCGACGCTTCTCCTGCACGGCGAATCATCACATTTGAACACATCCTAAATCACATCTTGAACATTATGAGTTTGAATTGTGTTTGCTATAATAATAAGGTTCTCACAATCCTGTTTGTGAGATTAACAAGCTCGTCCTCTTCCTTCTTTCTGCTCTCAAAGTGAACCTCGATCAAAGTCTGAAGCTCCATCAGGTCCTTCTCCATCCTTTTACGATGTATATCCTACAAAACGGGGGGGTGGGGGTGGGGGGGGGTTGGGTGTCAGTGCTTCTTCTGCTTTATGCTGTGTGTCAATGTTTATTGGTATACACATCATAGAAAGTCGTAACGTCAATAATTGGTAATGGTCTCGAATCTGATCAAAAGTAAAATCACAATACAGGGTTTTTACTTGAAAGTAACTTAACCAAAATTATAAAATAGATATATTCCATTAAACATAACATCTGGTGATGTTTTAATTTAAGAAAAACATTAGCCAGACACTAAAACACAGTATGCAATGATCCAGTGCACTGATTTTTTTATTCTGTCACTCACATCAAAATCCACCTTCTCTCCATCTGGGATCTTAGGAGGGATGAGGTTGGGCATGATAAATGGCCTGGAGAGTTTTTATAAGAGGAAAAAACAAACGAGACAGTTGTGTGGTAAAGTGAGGTAGACCTTGGTAGAAGACAAAAACACAAGTCTCGTTCCCATTTGGTGTCAAATAAGGATAAAAACTCAATTAGCAGAATCATCTTGCCAAACAGATGTCCCTTAAGGTTACTCATGTCTGTGCCTGTCCCCAATGATTATGAGCAGCTTCCTTATATCCATATTGGGTTGCATCTTTAGGAATAGATTATAGTCAATGTTTTTGATTGCTTAAGAATGACACTGGCGGTCCATGAGGAATTATATTCTCCTAAATACTACATTTGGATTACTTTACTGCCAAAATAAACTTTAAACTTTAAACATCAACATTCAAGTTTGTGTTGTATTTTGTTTAGCAGATAAGGCTGGAAAGTATCATGTTTTAGTTTTAAGATTTAACTTAGATGTGACTCTAAAAAGACGTCTGATTTTTCTCCCTCTTTGCATCAGCTGGGTACTAAAGAAAACGAAACAGCTCCAAACAAAGCTAAGAAGTTGCCCTCAAATGAAAAGAAAAGTAAAAATAAATAAAAGAAACAGGACCAAACTATCAAAACCTCATATTTATGTAGCAGACTGCTTTTGTGTGGTTGCTGTAACTTTGTAGATTGAACAAACACGATTACATGTTCATCAGAAGAGGTGCTAGAAGAGGATTTGGTTTCTTTTGGACGGGGCCAGTATAGCTGTTTACAGATTTGTATGCCAACTTAAGATAAGCTGCTGTTGGCATTATGGTAGCCTAACTTTTAATTAAATTGGTGAAACAGGTGAGACTATTCCTTAAAGATGCGCTGTGGAGTTTAGGTATGAAATGTGAAAGTTGGAGAAGTGTACAGATTTTGTGGTATGTGTTCATAACTCTATACACAAACTGTCCTCAGAGGAAAATTTGGTTTCTGGAACACTGTCTGAAGATAAAATGCTATGTGAGAGGTTTTGGTGGGGGGCCTGCAACAGTGAAACCGTTACTCTCCTGGAAGCTTTTTAGCTTCAAAAAGTGTTCCAGGAACCATTTTTTTCCCTTTCAATAAGGTTTGTGTATTCAGTTCAGAAAATATAGCATAGAATCCAACTTTCAAATTTCACGACCAAATCACCACAGCGCACCTTTAAAATCAAAGGCTTCCTAATTATAGATCAAAATAGACTAAACCATAAAAATTGGTGAGAGGATAAACCTCTTGTGTGCAAGTGTGTACATGTGTGCCGTTAAACTCTTTTGGTACTCACTTAAATTTTGGTTTGGCCTCCTCCTCTGTTGTCAGAGAAAAGAAAGAAATGAAAGAGAAGACAACAATAAGCTCCTCTAGACCAAACATTTTCTCACCATAAAAACACCAGTTAGTTTTTATAATCTTACCAGGTAATGCCAGAAACTTAAAACAATAGAGTCTGTGTGTCTGCTCATAACAGCAGGAAATTCACTTCAGCAGAAAGATCATCTAGGGCTAAATCTGGTGTGATTAAAGTTAAGGTTAAGTACATCCAAGAAAAACACAAGAGTAGGGAGTGCCAACATTGACTTTGAAGCAGATTAGATCAACAGCGTTACCTTCTCCTTCCCCGGCCTCCTCTTCCCCTTCCCCTTCGCCATCTGAAACCAGAACAATAGACTTAACAGGGTTTGAGTGTGTTTGTGTGTCTCATAAGTTCAGAACAGTAAATAGAAGTGTTTCAGGAGTGCTGAAGGACTAAATGATACTCCAGAGTACAACAACAGAAGCAAGAGACCAAAATAGAAAATAGAAAAAGCAAAGTACTGTTTGGTTATCAGTGTTGAGGTGTGCGTTAAAAGTGAGGTGATGCATGTGTCATGAATCATGAATAGCACTCTGGAGAGGTGGTGTTGGCTGACTACAGACACCAGACTTGTTAATAAGCAGTTTCTCACCATGGAAGGTATGGTATCTCTGACCTCTGAATGACACTCAAAGGCAGCTGAAGCTTTTGTTTCAGAGACACCATAAAGGAGGGAGGAATTCTACAGGTGTTTTTTTCCCCCTAAAACGCTGGACTATCAGCTGTGTTCAGTGTGAGCATGCTAGTAATTGTGAATTAGCTCTAAATGTAAGTTACTGCTGAGCCTGATGGATATGTCATTCGTTTTGCAGGTAATAAACCGAAGTGGAAGGTGAGACAAATTGTCTGACGTTGATGCAAGATAAAAATACAGTTCACCAAAGTCTAGGAGGCAGAAAATTTGACCTGCTGGTAGAGCTGAATGAATAGTGAGAGAATCAGCAAGTTATTAGTATTCATTGAATTACAATTTAAAAAAAAGTAATCTGATTTTACTAACGCTATTAGATTAAATCACATCTTGAAAACAAGTCATTCAAAGAAGAAGAAAAAATGTAACAGAATAAGTTATGATCAGGTAGTCCAAAATTGTTTTGCTCTTGATGTAAAAAATTGTAAGTATGACAAAGGTTAATGAAAAAGACATTTTTTTCCTCTCTAAAATACTGTTAATATAAAATATAATATATCCAATTTAAGTTTCAGGATCTTCGACTTTGTGTGTATTTTGGCGCCCCTTTGGACAAACCATGTAGAATTAAATCCCATTTAGAGCAAAAATAATCTGGATTTGGTCATCTCTAAAAATCTGCATCTGGATAAATCATTCTTTAAAAAAACAAAAACAAGACAAAAGTATAATGGACACAGGCCCTATTATGAATATGGCTAAAATTTCATGACACCCCATCATATAGTTGTTGAAATACTTCACTTTGGTCTACAACTTTAAAAAAGGACAGCAGTATCTCAGTCTGTAGGGACTTGGGTTGGGAACCGGAGGGTCGCCGGCTCAAGTCCCGGTGCAGACCGTATTATGGAAGATGGTCTGGTTGCAGCAGAGGTGCCAGATCACAACCGAGTACTGCTGAAGTTCCCTTGAGCGAGGCACTGAACCCCCAACAGCTCTGGTGGGCTGTGTAGGAGTGTGTATCAGCCCCACTTTGACATCAGGTACTGTTTGTGTATGTGTGTGTGTATTTCGGGACCATGTGTGTAAGAATCATGTCTCTCAATTACAGAGTGTAAAACCAGAATTTACTTTTTTTTTTTATGGTAGATTTATTGACCAAAAGTCAGACCGCATGAAGCCATACTTGGGTCTTAATCAAAGGTAATCAAAAGTCTCTCCGATTATGAACTGAACAGGCAGAACATACGCTGCATTCGAAGAGCATTTGGGCTGGAAGATAAATCACCTGTCCATGTGAGGAACATGTCAGGTGACAGACTACAGGAGTCTTTTTAGGCGTTGACTGATTAGAAGTCAAAGATGACACATGAACAGGTGAGTGAATCTTACCAACACCTCCCTTCTTTCATATGAATGGTGACACCATAGAGAAACACCTGGGCTAAATATTGCTGATTAAGCTTCATCTTATACTTAATTCTGACTAATAATTAAGAGCCTGAGGGACGGGAGGGACGGGAGGCCTGGGGATTATTCTTAGTGTCTGTGTCTGCTGTGACTAAGACTGTCACTGAAAAAAAAAAAAAAAAAAACTTATCAACTAGCTCCAGACTCTCACATACCAAAGTGATATGTTACTGAGATAGCACATTACTTTCCCATCAGCGTCTGACTGATAGTTACAGACACAGAGAATTGATCATCGCTTAGTTAACAACACGTAGCCAACAAAACACTGAGCTAGCTACTAAGCTGTCAACAACAAATGTTTTCAACTTTGGACCCCTCACCATGTTCTTCGTTCGCCTCCTCCCCTGCAGCTGTTTTTTCCTCTTCCTGCGTGTCCTCTGGCAAAGAAAGACAAACAATGAAAGTGATATATCTGTGACACATCTTGACATTCAGGGTGTGATGTTGACTCACTGCCTTCTTCGAGAGCTCAAGTCGTTCTTGTCAGTATTCTGTTATTTTTCAAAAGTTCATGGCGAGATGAACAAGATAAAAAAAAAAAAAAAAAAAAAAAAGCAGCTGCTAAATCTTATTAAATAGGTTTTCTCTCTTTCTGCTAAGCCTGGAGTTTGTTTGAGCCTCTTGATTCATGACTCATGACTCCACGCTGTGTGAGTTCCTGCTACTGGCTGACCCTGTGTTCCAGAGAAGAGACAACAGAATTCCCATGGAAAGTCTTTCAGAGCGAGAGATAACAAGAGATCTGTTCAGAATGAGCTACCCAATTCTGGTATTTGAAGCAGAGAGCACTCAAGAGCCTGTGAAGTGGAGTGTGTGTTTGTGTGCATGTACGTGTGTGTGTTTGGAGTCAGACAGATGTGGTAACAGCATACAGTTCAAACTCTGGCTTTAGCGCAATCAAAACATGCGATAAAGCAGAAATCTGGAAGTCCACAAGTTAATGATCAGTTCAGGCATTATTTTCAGGACATTAGGGGTGATTGAGGAAAGTCCCAAATGAATGATCAAACAGGAAGTAAAGACTAAACACTTACATGTAAAACATTTGTGTATCATTAGGTATAAAAACCCACAGAAGTATATTTGAGCATTGCATTTGATAGTTAGAATTCTATCTGGTATCATATTATTGCTCCCAGTCACTGTGAGTGTGTATGAGGAGCATTGGCCGTTCTGTACTTCTCTGATTGGAAGGTCAAAATTTCACAGGAAAAAATCTCAAAGTACTTTCATCATGTCCGCAAAACCAGCATGAGTTACTATCAGTCAAGTATTTAAAGGCTTCCAGCTCAAAGCACAAGCAGTACCTTCCTCTGCCCCTCCTCCTCCTCCTCCTCCTGCTGCACCTCCTCCTCTTCCTCTCTACCCCCTGCTCCCCTGCTAAGCAGAAGCACAGAGTGGTTTAGCAAAGCCAGCCAGCCAGCCAGCCAGCCAGCAGCGTTCATGCAGAGAAAGGGAGTGAGAAAGAATGAAAGAGAAGGAGAGAGTGAAAGAAAGAAAGAAAGAAAGAAAGCATGACTGATCCATGATGCATGAATGTCAGTGATGGCTACCCTGAGTGTCAGGTGAAAACAAACTTTATCAATCCATCTGTTGTTCCGGAGAATGGCAGAAATGGTGCAATAGTGAAACAAAACCACAAATGACTCATTTCTGACTTCCCCCCCACATACCTTCAGCAGCCTCTTCTTCTGAATAATACAGCCAGGAACATAAACAAAAGAAGAAAATAACAGAAACACATACCGTAAAATGTGAAGTAATTACAAGCAAGAGTAGAACAGGAAGAAAGAAAATCACCATCGAAATCCTGAACAATCAAATTAACATCCTGCGGAAGTTCAACAAGAATCAACAAGAACAACTTCTGGTTAAAACACACTTATTAACACAATGCAATCAACCTTGAGCAAAAAAAAAGATGATATTGTACATTAGTTAACTATATTGTAAATATAACAGTTTTAGCTTTATGCTAAGTTGACACACAGGCAGTATATATATATTTGTTTTCTGAATTGTAGCTTAATGTGTCATTTTCCTACATAGCAGACATGACTGCAGGAATGTATTCACATGTCTTTTAAAGCCCCTGTAATGTGTACTAACATGTATACTGCACGGATGGGAGAGTTCTTACCTTCCACCTCCCTGTGAAATGCAAACATGTACGTATGTTATTCTTCTGATACAATAGAGACAATCACATTTCAGCACTTTGAAAAAACAGAGCGTGATATTTCTATGTTTGAAAAACAAGCTTTAACTAACTCCTCGTACTCCTCCACCACCTCCTCGTTGTCAGACATGGCAGGGAGCGTTCAGGTGTGCACCAGTGAGTCTGAAAATGAAACAGCATTCACAAGCTCTTGTTTGAATCCCATTTTCACCACTTCATTTTGGTTTTGAAATGATATCACCCAAATACAGCATCCTCGCTGCGCAAACACATTAAACGAGGGGAGTCTTACCTGAGGGTCTGCTGTAGTTCTGAAGACAGAACGCTGATGGGCAGACTCGATGCGCAGCAGAGGAGAGCTCCCTGCTTTTGTTAACTCACAGACAACGTGAGGTCCTGGAGGGTATAGGGACTGACTGTGTTGTGGGGAAGAGGTTCTAGGACCCCTTGTTGTGTTATTAATAACTTCGTAAGATAGCGTGCACTCAGTTATCATTCCCTAAAAAGGTTGCTGTGTGACGGTGATAAAGCCACAGTTGCTCACGGTGATTCAAACATAGACACATACACACACACTCTTCTGTGTCACCTTTGTGTGGCAGCCTGCCACTGAAAAAAAACAGACATTCAAGTCCTATCTACATCCTTCCTGTGTCAAGGTAAATGGAGCCTTACAGACTAGTTGCTGTGGTTATGTTTAGGTATGTGACTTAATAATAAAGAAATCAATAATACAAATTTGTGGCAATGAAACATTTAATTCTTTAGACAGGCTGTGACGTGCCCATTATGACAAAGAACAAAATATATATATTATGGCAGATTACAAAAAAACTACATACATTTATAACTCCAGGATTCCCACATTAAAAAATTCCATAAAAAACCTGAACCATTAGCCTACACATTTTTAAAGTGCTTTTGAAATTACAGAGGCAAACAGCTGAAAAGTAAATATGTTTGTCACTAAAAAAAAAAAAAAAAATTTAAACTCCTTTCCAAACAAATTAAACATTATATCAGTGTTTGAAACAGCACTCTTTTATTCTAAGAAGAGAGAAGCAATGCAAAGATATGTGATTGAAGACTCCTAAATTTGAGTAGCATCCTTCTTATCAGTACACATAAGCCAAAACTCACCTCACTTTATTTCTACATTTTGCCTTAGCTCTTCCTTCAATGTGTTTTGGCAGTGCCAAAAAAAGTGTGGAAAAAAAACATTAGTCAGTCGTCTTCCAGTTCTCTTCGTGTCCTCTTGTTATTTTTTAAAATCCTGCAGATGGGAGGGGAGCGCAGGAAATCACTGCAAGAAATAAAATTTAAAAAATTAAATAAAAGTTATGTTAGAGTAGTTTACAGAGATGTACAAAGTGTTTCTAGAATCAAACCAAATTTACTGTGTTATCAAATACTTTTGTAAGCTACTCTCTGCATCATGGGACATGAATCTTACCTGTAGGGTTTATAAATTGGCCGTCCTTCACTTCGAGATTTTTCCAGGGCTGGTTTTGAGAACACTGTCCTCCTCTCTGCTCTCAAACATGCTCCTTTTGCTGCTGATGTCCACATGTCTCAAGTCCTACAAATGGAAAAATGATTACACAATTCATCAGGAAAATTATCCCATCATACATCAGACAGGAGGGCAAAAGACATACTTCTCATAAACACTGATAGGAGTCAGAAAGTTCCTCTATCAAGAACGATAACCCAAACAATGGGTTCTCACAAAGACGACGGTGTCTGTTTTGCAACATATTCTGTGAAATCTGTGAAAACTTTTAACAAGGCAACTAGTGTGTGCAGTTCAAAGGTTTTTGAACTCAAAAAAAGGAAAGTTCTTCAGTAAATGTATCCAGATGGAACAGAGTCTCTTGAAGAGAAAACGTTTTTTTGAAACGAAGAGAAAAAGTTTTTTTGAAACGACAACAGAGTTCATCTAAATCGGTTTAGTAAGGGCTTACTGTACTCCATGCCTGAACACATCTTTTTAACACAAAATCATTTTTTTTAACATATCTATCAACAACGCAACTCTCAAATTAAGAAAAAATCATAGAAAAGTAGAAGTAACATAATCATAGTTTCTGATCAGGACACTGAGCCACACACAGTTAAGCTGAAAGAGTTCTACTGCCCTCTAGCAGCCACATGCTACACTTGAGTGATTTCTCTCATGATGCAGTTTTACGACAAGCAATAGAATGAAGAGAATACATCTTTATTGTCATTGCTATAAAAAACAACGAAAAACAATGCAAATGGCCTTACAGTAGGACTGAGTGCAGACCCAGTTGGGCCGGTCTTGTTAAGCCAGCGGTTAATGCGATCAGACATTCCTGATGTGAAGCTTCTAAATTCCTGAAAGACAGAGGCAAAAAACACTAGAGCCTTTTGCAAACTAAAAATATCCGTGCATGTTTTTAAAAAGCCACATGAGAATCTAAGATAGCAAAGAGGAAGGAGAACGTACCTGTCTGGAAATTCCCGGGCTGGTGGGGCCTGCCGCTTGCTGCTCCTTCTCAAAGAGACCTCTCTTCCTGGACACCTCGTCCAGCAGGAACAGGGTCCTCTGGGTCACGTCTGGAGCGCGAAGAACTTCAGACTTCTATGCACATACAGGAAGGAGAGTTGTAAAAAAAAAACCTCTCAGCTTGGTCATTATGTTTGTTGCCTGAGAGTCTGACCTGTGCAGCCTGAGCCAGTCTCTCCATCTTCTCCTGGATGGACCTGGATGAAATCCTCTGTCGAGAGCTGGACCAGACAGATAATAGAAGCAGTGTTAATCTTGTCAACGAAATAAATGGAGAAAATATTCGTTGACAAAGGTCTTTTTAAATTAGTCAACTATGACGATAGACTACGATTTGATAAATAATATTCCTTCATCATCTAATTGACGAAAATGTGACGAAACGAAAACTACATTACAAGTGACGATTATCACGTACCCCCTCAGCTGTTCTAAAATCACTGTAAACCATAGCATACTTCATCAAAGGTGTGCGTGTGTGGTGAGTACAACAATGTGCAGCCTGCAGGTCTGTGAAGCCCCGCCCCCTGGAGCTTCTGATAATAAAAATAAAAGCTCGCGTCTGATTTTGTTGACTAAAATATCTTCTATTTTCTTCAACTGAAATGATGTGCAATTTTAGTCAGTGATTAATTGACTAAATTAAATCAATAACAAATGACTAATATCTGACAATATATAAAGGACATTTTCATCAGGAGACTATGACTAAATTAGAAAATGGTGTGAAGATTAACACTGAATAGAAGGCATATACGTATATATTGACGGTGCAGGGGTATGCACATTCTCTGACATAAAACATAGAAACTTTTAGTAGAAGTATAAAAAATGATTGAACTATACACACTTACTTTCTCTGGAAGGATGACGCTTTGTCTTCGTCTTCATTTTGGTCCTGATCCAAACCGAAGAATAATTAACATTCCACACACTGCTAATCAACTAAAGACAACTTTAACAGAGTTAATATTTATTTAAACTTCGATAAAATTTCTAGCCGATATGATCAAATTGTATTACTCTTATCACTATGCACAAAATGCCTTTCTGTGGAAGGTCCACGATGATGACATACTGCTTATGTCACTAAAAAAAAAGGATACCATCAAGCAAAGAATCTGGAGCAGTGTCATTTGACAATTTTCAACTTGTATTATTTACAATATTTCTAAGAAAAAGATGTCTTACTGTGTTGGATTCAAACTTCTTGGAGGCCATCCTCACACTCGAGCTACAACAGAATGAAGCAGTCAGCACTTATAGGTGAACAGAAACACTCGATGTGAAGACAAAGATGCTTCTTTACCTCCTATGCAGGGGCGAACTGTCCTCTTCTTTCTTCCTCATCATCTGTGAAAAGCCAAACATATGTGCGTGGTGATACACCGATGACCAGCACAGTCGCCCTATCTCGTGTGATGTTTATAGGGTGTTAACAAAGCATCCAGTCAGCAGTAAAAGACTGTCAATTTTACTTCAGCTATTAGCATGAGCAGGAAGCTTGAGTGGCACAAGCAAATGACCCTGATCTGATAATATAACAGCTGATGGGATATTGCAGCATGTTTTAAAAGTCAAATAAGCACAAATTAATGTTGTTCTTGTGTTTACCCTGAAAGATATAGTCCTGGAGCTCTGTCTGACGAACGCAGGTTTTGGAGTCTGTTCAAAGTTGCTGCTGCTGGGAGAGCCATTCACACTGGTCTGAGGTAAGGTAAAATCATGTTAAATGTACTGCAGTGTTCAGTCACATGTTAATTGTTTACTTTTTAAGGCTGCCTGCACAGGTATGCAAACAAGTACAGTTTATTTACATAGGTACAGAGGCTGTAACTTTTACTCTTTGACCACTGGAGGGTGCTGTTGCTTCAGACTCAACGAGCAGCGGCGCCAGCATTTAGCGAGCACTTTGCAGCCAAACTTCTATGTGACAAGCAAAAGCACACACAGAATTTCACCAGCCGACAGCATGTTGGTTAGAATACCTCCTGTGTGTGTCCATTATGTACAGGACTCTGATCACCCGGAGGAGAGGGACTCTGGCAAGGTGACGGCCAGTGTTCTCGAGAGGATGACGAGGGCGTCGGAGAGCGAGGGCTCATGGGAGATGTGCAGCCGCTGGCTGAGGGACTTTTGTCGAGTGAGATGGAAACAGAGCTGCAAAACCAGACACAAGTGAGCTGAAAGGTCAGTTGAAGATGTGTTTGGGAAAGCAACCAGTGATCCAAGACCAACAGTACAGCTGCAGTATATTCAAATCATCACAACCCCCATCCGGCTCTACATTGACAAACAACCACATTTAAGATAACTATAACTAAACAAGGATAAGAGGTGGCAGTCTTGTAATAAATAGGTCTTTTGAATAGACTGGTTTATAGCTTTACATGAATGACAATTGTAATAATTAACCAAACCACAATAAACATAGGGAATATCTTGCTTTCAGTTGCTTTTTAGCCTCACTAACACATTGTTCCTATCTTCCGCTGTACTGTAATTTTCCTTGTGTGGAATCAATACCCTTTATCTCCTCTTCAATAATGTTTGATCTATTTTTTGATCCACCCAAAAGAAAAACATACCTGAATAATAAACAATATTTGGTGTTTGTTTACCTGACAAACTTGCGTGTCGGGTTGGACGCTGGCTTGGGATCATGGGCTTGGCCTGACGGCTTCCCATTTTCTTGCTAACAAAGAAACAAACAGGAGAGAATAAACATGAGCACACCAAACGCAGGCTTTCACACAGCACCTGAGACACACCTTGCATTACATAACGCTGAACAGTTAAGGGCCTCATTTGCAGATCTGCTGAATAAAAGCTAGCTGCTAGTGTTAGAGAAGATAAAGTTCAAATTATGACCTGAAGTACACCTTATCAAAGTTTTATAGATTTGCATGTTTGCTCGAGTCATAGGAAGAGTCCAGTGACAGAGCAGGAAATGATGGAAAAGGTGTAATTAACCATTTGATGTATGTTGTTTATAACTAACAGATATGTATGAAACACGTTTATATGTGATAATCACACACACTCTCTAGGCGCCTTAACATTTTCAGTGACGTACACTGAGTCTTTCCAGGTATACAGAAAATATAATGTTGATATCTGTCGCCTACCTAAGCAGTGGAAAAAAAAAAAAAGTTGCTGTTGCTGTTTTAGAATCTAGAAAATGATTAACCTGTGTCACTCTCCGTGTGGGGTAACAGTTAACTGTGATTAACCACTCTGCAGGGTGGCACTATCGGCTGCCACTGTGCCAACACTAACTGAAGCACGACTACTTCTGATGTGAGTGAAGGTTTATATAGAGGATTTGACTGTCTGTAAAGGCAGTTTGAACTTTCTTTTGTCATTTTTCGCCATGTTGGTGGAACAGCTCTAAGGACGGCTATGTTAGCCTGGTTGTCAGTGAATCCTCCTCTTTGAATCTGCCTCTAATATCCATTATTGGATGACATATTTTGTCATATTTCTCTGTACAGTGTTACTCTACTCTCTCGCTTTAGCCTGACTAGTTGTTGAAAGCTGTTGCTTATGCCTCAATACATCTCAACATCTTGTGCTTGGAGTTACCCAACATTTGGTACAATTGGGCATTCATGGATCCCAGCTGATTTACCTGCATCACTTTGGTGGTCCTGTGACTTTTCATCGAGCACTTTCAGTATCATTAAAATGTTTATTTTGCTAAGTGCTAATTAGCAAACCAAAAAGGCCACCGCTAATGATCAAATCGGAGCGTGCTAAGGTTCTACACTCAGATTGTGATCATTGCAAACACTACTCACTTCTGTTATTGGGACCATGCCAGCATGCTAAGGTTAGCATTGCGCTCAAAAGCGAACTGCGGCTAAGTAAAAGCTGCTAGCATTGCTGTAAGCCTCTTGGATGTGTTGCGTTCTGAAACCTCCTGTCTTCAAATCAAGTGGCTTGACTAAATAAAGGCCTTTGTTTTACTCTGCTGAAACACAGAGTAGCTCCAGTCTTACTTGTCTGTTTGTGGTGTTGGTGCTGCTGCTGCCATTCACCGGACTGTGAGATGTGGATTTGAGTGGTGGTTCTGGTTTAGTGGCTTTTATGGGGGAAAACAAACCACCCTCTTCCTCATCCAAGTCCCCCAGTAGCTCCACCCTGGCTCCTCCACTGCAGGCCGCCGCCTCATCCTCCCCAACCTCCTTCTGTCGTCTCAGCGCCTCCACGTGCCTCAGTCTCCGCTTTTCATCACGGACACGCAGCATCTCCACAAAATCCAGCTGAATCTGCTCCACACTGAAAATCCCAGTACACACACACACACACACACACTTGTGAGAGGCTAATATGTATGATGGATAGTTTCAAGTAGAAGAAAAAAAAAAAGAACTGGTCACTCAAATGTCTGATCAGGTTTCTGTAAAGAAGGGCTCTGTAGTTCCTCTCTCTCTCTCTCTCTCTCTCTCTTTGAAAACTACTTCTGCTTCAGGTAATCTAGCTGGTGGTGTTTTTGACAGCGTGTTGTGCCTGCCACGCATGGTATCAGGTTTATCCATGTGTTTGAAAAGTATACATATGACACACTTCCGTGGGGCAAAACGTGTGAGAATCCTCACTCTCTTCTTCTGAAATCTATCCCCTCAAAAAGAACATTGATTTGCACATACTAGCATCCCTATGATCCTCTTACAAAAAAAAAAAAGAAACAGCAGAGAAGCTACAGCTACAAGATCATGTTCAGATCAGTCTATAAATCTTTGACAAAGCTTTGGCAGGTACAAATCAATCATCCTGCTTTAGGAAATCATGAGAAATAACCTGCTCAGGTCACCCGGGGCATCTTTCCCAGAGGCGCTCTCAGTGGTTTTTGTGTCTCTGGGTGTTTGGCTGTCTTCAGCGTCGAAGTCACTGGTGACGATCAAGCTCTTCACCCTCCTTCTATTCTCCCTCTCCACCTCCTCCTCATCCTCCACCGTCCACTGGCGCGCTAGGCTGGGGACAGAGTCAGAACGAACACATGGCGTCAAAAAAAACGAAACTGAGGTATACACCAGGCCTGAGTGATATTAAGGTAACAGTCTCGACATGTAAGTCATGAATCTTTCATGAAATCTTCAGAGTGAATTGATTTAACGGCCTGTTTTGGTTGCTGTAAAGGATTATTAAAGGCTAACGGTTACACAGAACCTGCTTTACTTGTTCTTCAACTGCTTATAAGTAGTCTATACTGTAGAGGCACATTTCTTTGCTTATCTGACCTAACTTATTTCTGGTCTTGACTTCAACTGAAAGCCCAAAACCAACAGGGACTTAATACATTTTAAAATATCACAGCTAAGCAAGAAGTGCCTGTGATAACAATATGGACACTGAATAAAACAGAATAGTGCATATTGTTTCATTTGGATAGCCTACTGTGGGTTCACTAGGCTGCTGACTAAAGTCCCCAAATTAAAATGGAAATATGCTCGAGTATTGTATCTGGCTTAAAGATTGAAGTTGAGACTTTTAAGACTAGCTCGGTGAATAAAGCATGACTTCAATACATCACTTGTCAAAACAGCAGCAGTTGCGGATGGTGCTCTCAAAGGTTTCATTTTCTATTCAGAGTATTTTAGCTTTTATCTTACCTGGACAGAGCCGACCAGTTCTTCCGACTGATGGACATATTGAGTTGCCTATAGGTTACCGTGTTCAGGAGAACTTCGCTCACAGACACAAAAAGAGTCAACTGACTGGGACTCTGAGGGCGGCAGTCAAATTACAGTCAGAGCGGCACAAAGCACCTTTACCCCGGTGCAGCTCAGTCACGTGACAGCAAAGGTAAACTACCCACCTGAGGGAGAGAGAGAGGGGGGGGGAGCGAGAGCGAGAGAGGGAGAGAGAGAGAGGGGGGGAGCGAGAGCGAGAGAGGGAGAGAGAGAGAGGGGAAGAGAGAGAGAGAGGGAGAGAGAGAGAGAGAGATAGAGAGAGGGGAAGAGAGAGAGAGAGAGAGAGAGAGGGAGAGGGAGAGAGAGAGAGGGAGGGGAAGAGAGAGAGAGAGGGAGGGAGAGAGAGAGAGAGAGGGAGGGGAAGAGAGAGAGAGAGAGAGAGAGAGAGATAGAGAGGGGGGGGAAGAGAGAGAGAGAGAGATCTTCTCCATCATGTATGGTGGCAGTTATGAAGTTACGTCAGGCTATTTTGTTCAGCAAACTAAGCTAAGCTAACTCAGTATTTGTTTAAGCCAACTCAGTAGCCTTATTGAAGATAATGTACAGTTATGATAAAGATAAACCCACTGTCATTCATGAAATTGTAAAGTAACAAAAATATATATATAAAAATAATAATAAATAAATATAAAATATATATATAATATAATAAATATAAAATATAAAAATATCACACTGACAGGACAATACAAGGATGACAAAGCTGAATTTAAATGATAAATGTAGGCTAGCCTACTTTTAAAGTATATTTTAAAAACATATATATTTAATATAAATATATAGTATAAATATTTTTTTTCTATCTACAGTGTGAGTCAGACTGTGTTCAATGCTGTGTGAGGCCACACCTGTCTGTAGCCCGGTGTCGGACTCTGACCCAGACTCAGTCCAACACACCCACCACCTCACATGACTGTACCACCTGTATCACAGACTGTGGACCCACAATAGCCAATTGAAGGTGAGCTCCTTTTAGAATTGAAGATTAAATGTATCATTTGATGCTCATACTGATAGCCTGTATTCTTTGTATAATTGGGCTAGAAGTTCGCTCTTGACTAAATAAGGCATGCTTGTAGTTTGAACCATTAAGATGTTATCATACTGCATGTGTCTAGTTTGCATGTTCCCTAAGAAGTGAAGCATGCGTCAGCAGAGAAGATTGTGTGTCTATGCTGCTGCAGTGTTCATATAAATGCTCCTGTGGCATGAGGGAAACTGTGACTGTAATTGGTGTCACAAGCTGTTTGCATCAACCTTGATAAGACAATTATGATTAAAGTGCCATAAAGGAGGCAGTTCTCTGAGTCTGCTTTATGGGTATGCAAAACAGACAGCAGCTAAAAAAAAAACTGTGCGCAGGATGTTAGTGTGGGCAGCTGGCAGACATAAGCATATCAGCAGAAGTTTGCTCTCTTGCAGAATTGCTTATGCATTAGATGTACACACCTTTTGGCTAGCGTGTGCTAATTAGCACCTAACACAGTAGAGCAAGTACATCTGAATCTTATGAGAATGTTATTAGTCAAACACTTATTTGGATATGATCCTAAGTATGAAAGAGATTGATATTTTACAAGATGATGGCGCTGGATGAAAGGTCAGCGGATCACCAAAGTGATTACAATTAATCCTGAGTGGGATATAAATGTCTCTACAAAATTCAACAGTAATCCATTCAACAGTTGTTGAGATATTTCTGTCCATATAAAAGTGGTGAGCCAATCAGCCCACACCAAAAAATAAGACTCTGCGAAGCCATAGATTTAAATCTATTCTACATATGACTGCAAAGAAATGCTATGATATCTCTTCTGTATCGCTAACATATAAAGCTTGCACACTGCAAATGAGACTCATCCTTTGCAAGGTGAAGATTTCCAGTTTTCTTTATTTAAAAAAAACCCCACAAACAAATAAGATCAATAATTAGTTTATTGTTGTTACAGTTTTTATGTAAATCCAGCCATTTCACAAAATCACAGACCATGTTAACAGTTAATCAGAAAGCAAGAATATAAAAGCTACGGTTTAACATGCTCAAGTCAAGGCAAATTATGAGTCACAAAATGTCTCTGTTTGTTGTTTAGAGATAGAAGCTGCATAGCTGAAAGTCCAACATGGGTGTGAATCAATTATAAATACAAATAAATCATCACGGCACACAGATAAAGATTTCTTTACACCATATCATTTATCAGGAAACTGATCAGTTCTAACCGAAATAAGAGAAAACCTCCATGGCAGGAGCATACCCACAATGATAATGTTAAACAGATTTTTTAGAATCTGAAATAGACCATATGGAAAATAAAACTGATTTAGATGATGGAGAAGTGATGTCACATGACACCTTCTGGGTCTACTGGGCAGGACCCTTAGCGGCATCGAACATCTTCTTCCTTCCCTCCATCCCTGACATGGCCTCCACATTCTTCCTCCAGTCACTGTCCTCTACTGGCCTCTTCTGCAGAAGGACACAGAATATGGTGTAAAAGTCGGTATGAATGAATGAATGAGAACAGGCTTTGTTTTTGTTTATGAAGAGGCTGTGAATTAGAGCAGGTTAAAACGTCCTATTATAATTATTGTCTAAGCCTTTAAGACCTGTGTTGTCACCTGGGAATCCCAGATTACAATGCTGTATAACTGCACTAGTTTAACTGGTTTCAAGCATCTATTACTCTCACAGACACAAGGATCCATATCCATGCAAGCACACACACACACGCACACACACACACACACACACACACACACACACACACACACACTCACTGACCAAAAGCGACTTTTCTGTGCACAATGCGCTCATTGTCTCGTGTACCGTACCTCCTCTTGTACACACACAAACACACTGTAGCCGCCCTGTGCTGGCCTACTGCTCTGTATCTCAAACACACCCTTCACACACATGAACACACACTACAGGTGTCTTATGGCACTTCAAGCACTGACGTCATGTAGTGTCTGAAACTTCTCAGTAGCTGCTTTTCTTCCTCGCCATACAAAAAGTAAATCTCTTGAGCTGGTTTGATTGTGTTTTGTGTTTGTGTGTGTGTGTGTGTGTGTGTGTGTGTGTGTGTGTGTGTGTGTGTGTGTGTGTTAAATGCGAGTATGTGCTTGTTTTTATGCACACACCTTCTCAGTGTCCTCTTTCTTGACAGACTTGAGGTTGGCCCGGAGGTCCATGGAGACTTTGTGCTTTGAGCCCAGCAGCGAGCGAAGAATGGCGTCAGCAGACACACGAACGCGCCGAAGACTAGGCCTCTTGAATTTCCCCCTGAGGTCCAACACCTTTATGTTCAGGTCTTTAATCTGGAACAGATCATTTACATGACTTCTGCAGCATATTGAATTTAATGAGGAGGTTAACATTTTTAAATTTGGCCAATAGCACACAGAGATATGCTGGGAAAGTATCATGTACCTCACGTGTGTTGAGCATGACTTTAGCTTCGATGTCATATCGCTCCTCATCAACCACATCTATCTTAGTATGGAGCTCTTTGCAAAGGTCCTATACATAAACACACATAAAAACACACACAAATCTTATATATAGTTATTTAGTAGTAATGATTATTACGAGGGTAGATTTTACTGTTATCATATACTGTAGTTTTTTGTAACCTAAATTTGTGTATCTAAAGTCTTTACATTTCTGAGAATTTTTCTCTAGAAACTATGCTCATGAAGAAGCTTAAGGTCCCTAAATTCCTTTCATTTAAAAAAATTGTGGAATTGTGGAGATCTGAGGACAAGTTACCTGCAGCTGTGCAAGACTGTGGCCACTGATGTGTAGCGGAGGAGCTCTCTCTGACAGATACTTATTTTTCTCCTCCTCTTTAACCAGGATCTCCTGTTCCAATTCCTCCTTGGCCTTTGCAACCATGAGACTCTGCATGAATATGATGTCATGTAAATGTCACCGTGTAATACAGAATGCCCTTACATTTGCTCTTGTCGAGCAAAACCAGCACAGCAAGCTTGTATTGTTTTAACATGCAAATACAAACGTTCAGTTCTCAGAGCACACGCTCTTGATCAGCATTATCCAGCGTAGTACAGTTCAACAGAATGTGGCCACTGCTGCCCTCCTGTGGTCAAACATTATGTAATAAATTATCAAGAAATGAGGGTGAATGATTCTGCTGACCTTGAGCATCAGCTTCCTCGAGGCTGAGATCTTGGGTTTCCTCTGGATGGAGAACATAATTCAGGACATGAATCCTAACTGATTTGATTATTATAATTTTAGAATCAAGGAATACTATTATCATGGTCATTGATTAAAAATAGTTCTTACCTCTTGCCTGTAAAATAAAAAAATGGAAAGGATTTAAAGCAGAGAAAATTAAAGGCCAAACATGTTAGTGTAACAAAACTCAGAAAAAATGATTTTGTCTTTGTTTATGTTTGTTAATGACAACAGAGTCTACATAAAGAATACTCACACGTGTTCAGGCATCCTGCAGACGAGATGTCACTGGAAGAGAGACGAATTATGTCAGAAACACACGCGCACACACACGCACACACACACACACACACACACACACACACACACACACACACACACACACACACACACACACACACACACACACACACACACACACACACACAAAACAGTTCTTCATGGAAGTTTGGCTTCTTATTTGAATGGATCACAAACCAAAATGATGTGTCTTTAATGCATTAAAAAATCTGGACTTTCCCTGAGTTTCCCATGGCTTTTTATTTTTTAGAAAGAGAACTTAGGATAAGGTAATAGTAACTTCATCCAAACTACTTTAAGTCGTCTGGTAAGCTTCGAGTTGCTTCAGGGTACATCTGAAACCCTGAACAGAAGAGAGATCCTAGCGTTTTAAACATCAAATCAGTTTAAATGAAGGCTGGTTAGCAAGTAGACATAGTTGAAACAGTTATGAACTCGTTGGAAGTAAAATCTGTGACACGTGTAAGATGACAAAATGTGCAGCTGGTTGTCAACCCGTCCCTATAATTCATGTTTTCACTTTAGTCATCATATTAGCGTACTCTCTCCCTCCTTCAGCACCCTTGCCCTTCTTCCTTTGAAGAAATCAACAAACAATTTACAGCACTCCCACTTCTATTTTTCACCTCCACCCTTTTCTCTCTTTATGTGCCTCTCCCATTTCAAAAGCTGGTTCCAGTTAACACTGATACCAGCTAAGACCTCCCAGTATGATTGGGTTAGGAGCTGCTCCAGCAGATTAGGAAAATTCCTGCTTGATAGCCACCCCTCATACATCTCTCCTGAGTCTCATCCCCATCTTTCTCGTCGGGATTATCTCAGGGAGAGGAATTTAGAGTGGCCTGTCTCCCCAAATAGACTAGGGGGACATCTGACAGACAGCTGTGGACGGTGATTGTGCTCGGCGTTGCCCAGACGGGATCACAGATTTACCGCCAGTAACTCATGGATGCTTCTGAGCCTCTGTGGTACAGCCAAGTTGGAAAGTGAAACAAAAAGCCTGAGGTGTTTTTGAGAGTTTGTCAGCTCAGATTTGAGAAGCGCTGCTTTGGCTACATATTTACCAACTAGTTTGTATAATTTCATAATTTTATCTATGGTTAAGGTTCAGCCCCAGCCTCAAAGAACAAGAGGTAATCATCATCATTACATTAGAACACTATATAAAACCCATTTTTTTTTGTATTCAAATCCATTTTTACTAGATTGCAAAGACAAATCTTCAGTTCTCTTACAACTATCTGAAAAAAACTATTGAATAAACCATTACATACAAAGTCTATTTAGTCAAATGTCAGCAAAAACTGATTGTACAAGACAAAATGATGCATCAATTATGTCATACAATTAAGTTTTTGTGCCCTACTTTTTTACAAAAAGAAGAACAGGCCTGGCATCTCCCCTAAAAAGTTTTATATACCCCACCACGAAAGGGCCTTACCAGTGTCAGGAGAAGGAGCCGAAGAGAGATGGGGCAGCGGCAGAGGCAGGGTTGAACAGATCAGAGATGAGACCAACAATTTGGTGTCCCTCTATTTAACCACTGCGCCCCCTCATTGTCTGGCTCCCTCTTTCTCTTTTGTTAGTGGAGGCTATTATTAGTAAACCCCATCTCTCTTACTGCCTAATCTTGCTCTTTCCATTTGTCTCTCAGAAAGATTCATTATAACCAACAGTTAGAGCTGGGAGCTTTGGCCTCGCACGACAGGAAGATGAACACAGCTCAGGCGATAAAGTACAGGCCGGAGGTTTTATATTGATACGGGTCAAAGATAGTCTGCGAAGGGGCGCCGGTTGCCTGGTGGTTAGTGCATGCACCCCATGTACAGAGGCTATAATGGTCTTACAAGTGGGCGTCCTGGGTTCAAATCCGACCTGTGGCTCCTTTCTCGCATGTCATTCCCCACTTTCTCTCCCTGATTCCTGACTCTATCCACTGTATCTTTAAAAATAAAATCATAAAATCAAAATAAACCTAAAAAAAGTCTTGAAACTACATAAAATATAGGAAAAAAAATAGCTCTCACACTTGTTAATATGTTACTTAAATGGCTGGAAGAAAGTGAGAGTATAACACCTGACCTGAGTGTCTTTGTTGTTATGCTGTGTTTTTAGCTTCACTAGAGGCGTGGCTCAAAAGATAACTTGAGTCCGTCTGTACCACTTCGGTCAAGACTACAGTGGAATTGTAACCAGCTGGAATGCCAAAGAAGTAAACTCTCCATAGAATGAATCCTTTGTGTTTACTATCTTGTCATCTAATGGATTAGCACTTCATTTTTTAAATTCATGGTACCTAAATGATCACTTTAAATGACAGCTGTTTGACACATTTATCAGAATAAATAACCCCACCCCCCCTAAAAAAACAAAAAAAACAAAGACCCTCTAAAAACGCAGTGCTTAAATACAGCTAACACAAATTGCACACTCATGCTGCCTTTCTTGGCTGTCTAATTTGTTCAGTGTACATCATAAAATGTTATCAAGATAACAAGCTTAATGGCTCACATAGCTAACATTGAAAGTTACTTCCTAATACAATTGATCATGTTGGCACACACACACACACACACACACACACACACACACACACACACACACACACACACACACACACGCAGATATTCTTATCACTCAACCGAAGGGAGACCGACCTCTAGTGGTTAAACACACACACAGCAGCAGCTCTCCATTCGGTAAACCTCACAAGAAATTGTGACCTGTAAAACAATCTTAACCTTCAATCGTTGGTCATTATCAAAGAAATGTACACATGTGCTTTGTTTTTGTAAAAGCACTGATAAACTATCTAATGACTGTCAAAATGTCATCACATGATCTCAGCATGAAGCAAACATTACACTGAGGGCTAGGAACTGGTTTATAAAATCGCAGATAACCATACATGTGTGTTTATCTGCTGAGAAAACCAGATACCCTAGGCTGTGGTTGTGATGTTTAAACAAGGCATTCCTCTGAGCAACGTGAGCACACAGTCTGGAGGGACCCCTGATATGCCCACCACTAAGTTCGCAAATTCTCTCGTACCCTTCACATAGAGTATTCTGTAAGTTTACACTCGCCCACACACTTAACTGCACACGGTGTTTTTAACCAGCAGCCATCCGTCACAGGGTGTCTCCGCTCTTTGCAGTGCTCCAGGTCCTTTGCTGACTCATGTGGTGTGGCCAGCTTTGGGGTTTTCCACAGTAATGAGAGAGGACGGTACACAATCGAGCCTTTATTCTTGACTTGCACTGATGCCCACAAACACACACAGACTGCTATATTTTTCACACAAACAGTCACACACACACACACACACACACAAAGATGATTGAATGAACAATATATGCTCACCCTTGCTAACAAGAGTCTCCTGATGCTGAGGCCTCACTGAATTTCATGCTGGTTTGTGTGCACACAAACCTCTGTAGGTGAATGTGTGTGTGTGTGTGTGTGTGGTGGTTGTTTGTATGCACATGCCTCAGGCTCACTGTTCTTCTCATTAGTCCTCCACATGGCTCCGAACAAAAGGAGTCCTGACTTAAGCATTCACACAAGAGCAAGAGAGCAATGCCACAGTTTTTGTGTTTTCCAGAGGCTTTAACGGCAAGGTTACACCACATCTGGAAACAAATGAGCAATTAATGGTCTTAACCTTAAATGAATCACAGCTGACTGCTTTGTTCTAAGTGATATCATATGCTTCAGACAAAGTAGAGGACGAACATATAAAAAACAAGTACAATCTTGAGTTAAATATGTCAACACTTCAGGGCTACAGCTTAAAACGTATTTAATATTTTAAGGTTGTAATACTGTACATGGTTTCAGCAAATATATTTGTACAATGTGCAATGGATATGAGCAAAAAACTTCATGTTAAGCTTTGGAAAACATGCAGATCTGTTAAGTCTAGAACAAAAGTTCTCAAAGCGATTTTAACACGATGTGTTGTCATAAAAAGCAAGGCTAATAAAACGAAAGTGACTCCAGTTTCACCACTGCTAGAAAATGTCTACAAATAATGGCCAAAATAACGACTTTCCAAATATCAAGGCACAAAGGGGTAAACATGTGTCCACAGTTTCTGTCCCAACGATGGCATCTTTTCCTTATGGGGCAGCCTCAACATTGACCTCCAGAGATGAGAAAAAACATGCCATCCATGTTGACAGTTTATCACATCCGTATGCTTTGTTTGACATTGTGAGTAGATGAGCGCGTCTGTAACTCATGTTCTCCTTCCTTAAATCCATATTCTGTGATAGCTGTGAGGTCGTCCCACCAGGCTTTGCAAATAGATCTGCTGTCCTCGCTCTCCCCTTCTTCTCTGCTCTGATTGGTCCATTTCCAGGAAGAATGAAAGCTGAAGAAAGCAACAACAACAAAAAGATTTAAATATTTTTTTGTCACTGAGTACATTTGACACTGTGGCAGCTGATTGGGAATCTGCTAAGTGCGCTTGTAGTGAGTTATATTACTGTAACCACAGAGACTAGGTTAATTTGGGCACTTGACTTCTGCAGCTCTTTTAGGAAGCTGGGCTGTGGATTCCTGGACTCTGAGCTCATAGTTCAGACTCTCAGTTCATGAACATTTGAGTTTTCAGTGACCAGTTTCGGAAAATAACACCAGTGTCACATGGTGCCAGTGATTGTGCTCTAATAGCTGATAGTATATGGGGTGCTTAGCTTTGGTCAACCCAAATGTCCAATCGTTATTAAAATGCATATGTGGGCAGTGTTTGTGAGTGTTTAAAAATACTTGGCTGCCTCGTGAGGGAGAGGCAGGCAGATGTTATTTTGCAGGCTCACGTTACGTCTTAAATTTGTCCTCCAGCAGGAGTGCAAGAAGACGGTGTTAAAGTTTAGGCTGATTATTATCAGAGGGTAGAAAATATGACATGACTTGACTCAATAGTTGAACATTTAAAAACCGAAGTGGTTCTTAAAAATAACTTGTAAAACCAGTTTAGCTTTGGGGTTCTGAGTTCTTCTGAGCAATGTGCCACCTCAGCCCCAAGAGTCTGGATGTTTTCATTCCATCCAATCAGAGCACCGACTTGTAACCATTAGCACCCCATCAACCGCAGGAGGGAGATTATGAGTGAAGCTGGCGACTGCACCTTTAAGAGACTTTTGGGCCTTTGCTGACAGCTGGATAAGAATTCGTACATAGAAAGTTGAGGTGCTAAAGTGACGCTTTGAATCGTGTTTACTGTCAGAGGAGAATCTGAGACATTACAGCTATGAGATGTGTGGTGCCCAAACAAAAACAGTATGAGTTTACACGTGTAGTTATTACATTCAGAAACTATTTGATAAATGTTGAAAACAGCACTCCTCATTTCCCTACACTGGAATAAGGCTTACCAGGTCACAGTTCCTCGTCCTCCCCAGTGCTCCCCAGGTGTGCTGAGTACAGGTGCCTGTTTCTCCCTGTCTGCACGGCCTGCAGGTTCTTGTAGCGCACCAGTGCCAGAGCAATCTCCGCGTTCCACGCCGTCCCTTCTTGTGGGCACCGAAAGTCAACCTCCTTCCCTGTCACCATGACCACGGTGAAGTACACCAGCCCTCGCTTGTACTCCACGCAGTCGACCGTGGCCATGCGCTCAAAGCGGAGCTCCTTGGCTTTGGAGCCCCACGCTGAGCTCGGAACATCAGCCCCTCCGCTGGAGCCTTTGCAGTTGTGCAGACGCAGTCCTTCCTCTGTGAGCACGCAGCGCTTCTTCTTCCACAGCTGGAGGAGCCCGCTGCTGCGCTTCTCCAGCATCCCGTCTCTCATCACTTTGGTCGGGAGAGACATGGCCACGCAGAGCCGGAGACTTCAGACAGAATATAATCTAAGTCTTCAGAAATGATTAACCCATTCAGTACATACTCCTTGTTATTGTGAAGGCGTCAATTGTGCCTTAAAAAAAACAAAAAACATCGTTACAACAAATAATATCCGATTCAAGGGCTCATTCAGACTGCATATAAATCCTAATCCGTGCGTAATGACAACATGCCGTGGAGATTGGTAGGCTGGTCCGCCTGGATATGTTTGAACATGCCCGGCGCCTCAGTGGACCTTCTACCACTTACACTGCACCCCGCCCCCTCCCGGTGACAGCAGGAGGAGATCCGGGCTGCTTGTGTGTGTGTGTCATGAGTGTACATAGGCTAGACGTTTGGCTTGAATGGCACACTGTTTGATGTTTGCGTGTTAACAGAATTCAACTGTAGGCTAGATAGGTGGGTTGAGCCTCATTCAATCACAGTGCACCTGATAGGACAACATAGGAAACAAATCTCATACACACCTGTCTGACTAAATAATCTGTAGGACAAAACGTTTCTTACATCACATTTAACTGCCCTGGCAAGTGTTTATTCCACTGGGGTTTCACTTCACTGTTATATTAAAAGTCTCCAGAGGGAAAAAACATTTAAACAATGACTTTTATTATTTTACCAATACTTGATCAATGTGGCTCTTATGCGACAGATCCGCTTTGTGGGTGGAGTGAAGCTGTAATTCCCCTAACTTTACAAGATACTTTCCTTATTGTCCCAGCAGTGTGATGTGTCAGTGCAATGTTATGAGAGGAATGATTACAATGTGCATATGTCATTTCTTGAAACTTAAACACAGCACGTCACCTTCAAAACTGCATCCCTATTCTTTACACGGACACACACAGTTTCACTCATGTTATTATGTAATTTGTGAATCCAAAAAGAAAAAAAACTATAGAAATAATTATTTTAATTTCAATTGTAATTGTAGTGGTTTCCTCGGTCTTCTTAATAAATCTTATGTTCTTAAACTTAGTTCTTTCTTAACCACTCTAAAGGCATTACACTGTTTTACGCGTTGAGTTGGCTTCACACATGTTCCCATGTGTTATTTTTCCCATGTGAAGAGCCAAGAAGAGGGGGTCACAGGGACCTCGGGGAGATAGGCAAGAAGCCCCCTATCGCACATATTACCTCTCCTCAGCACCAGCGAGAGCTCCCGATGGAGGATTGATGGGGCGGGCTAGGAGAGACACCCCCCTCCCACATGTACAAAGTTGTACATTTTTATTTTATTAATTTTAGGGTTTATTTATTTTTCTCCCTTTTGTGTATGGGTTGCTCCCATAGCGGGATTTTGGTCTTTGTTTGTTTCCATATAGAAGAGATGTATTTATATATTATCTATTTGTCTGTTGTTTAGCTTATCATTTTCTGTTTATTCATTCTCTGCTGGAAGTAGGGAGGCAGGGAGGTGACTAGGCCAACCACGCCCCAGAACGCAACCACCAAAATGGAACCCCCTACCACCCCAATAATAATAATAATAATAATATCAATAATGGTGATGTCTATTGGTAATGATAATATATCGATTGACATGAATGAATTAAAGTAAATGAAAATGTTTAATAAAATAGCATGGGTTATGTAATATCTAGTAAGTTAGGGGGGTACGAAAGAAAAAAAACAAAAAGGGCAGGGTATGTATTGTGAGGGCACTCAATCTTTCAGCTCTGTGAGAGTGGTGAGAGAATCAACTCACTGCAATCAGGTGTGTGTGGCACTGATTGGCTTTGATTAAGCCCAGGTGTGGGGAGTTTTCATATACCCTGAGTCTCCAGTGCTCTGTGCTGACTCATTATCTCACCTTCAGAGGTAGTGAGAGGTTCTCCCTGTGGTTTCTCAAGTTGTCAGTGTACCTATAAACACCAACTCAGAACTTTATATTGTGGGATACAGTGTATGACATGTCAGAAGTAAAGAAATAAGGATTGATAGAATACATCTTGTGGATGCTCCTGAACACATCATCAGTGATGTAACCTGGGGTGTTTTGGGTCTTTCAATCATCATACACCCTCGCCCAGGCGACCCAGCCATGGTTGATCAGACCTGGCTTGTGTTCAGGTGGCATTTACTACTCCCCATGGATCGCCTGTCCTGATTCAGAGCCATCTCGAGGCTTTCTCTGCTTCCTCTGTGATGTTCTTGATGGCTCTTCTTCTCTCCACTCCAGTGATGCCCAGTGCACTCAAGGTCTAATAGAGTGACTGCCCTGTAAACCCTCTGTAGCCAACCTCGATGGGCAGACACCTCGCCTTCCAGCCCTGCTTGCAGCAGTTGATGACCAGGTCTTCATACTTGGCCCTCTTTCTCTCGTGAGCCTCCTCCAGGCGGTCCTCCCATGGCACTGTCAGCTCCATCAGGATGATGTTTCTGGTCTCCTCTGAGATGTCTGGCCTCTGGGTGGTTTTGACAATGTGCTGGGGGAACTTCAGCTGTTTTTCCAGGTCGGCAGAGAGTCGAGAGGAAAATACTTAAATAAGGAAAATATTATGTGGAGTGTGGGTATTACTCATGGATTTGTGGATATATATGTGGCTTCAGTTTGAGTATGATTTTTCTGAGATTTAGGTGAATTATGAATGGATTGGGCAACCATGAGTGCATTGTGAACAGATGTCTGTGGTAGCTAAACCCATTTTGAACATTTTACCTTAAGTGATGTCCTGTGGATGGTTTTGTATTGTATAAGTTGTAAATTTGTATTGGTCATAGAAAATATGTTTTTATTGATTTGTGTCCTGAAGTCATGGTTGGGGGGCAGCGTCAGATCCTTTTCCCATTTTGTAGTGGGGAGTGTAATGGAGGTTGTTGATGTGGCTATAAGTTTATAAAGTTTAGAGATGATTTTATTTGAATTATTGATTTTCATGATTTCTTCACTTAGTTGGGAGGGTCGCAGAGTGTTGTTAGTTATATTAATTTTGGATTTGACTATTGATTTTAATTGTTGATACTGTCGGAACTGGTCCCTCCCAACTCCTGATTAATGAATTGAGTGATATAAACTGATTGTTTTGAAATAGGTGATTGAGGTGAGTGATTCCTTTTTGTTGCCATGATGGGAAGTAGATGGGGGTGTTGTGTAGCTGGAAGTCTGGATTATGCCATATTGGGGTGTATCTACATGTTGTTAGTGATGACTTGGTGATACTATGACTTTTCCACCAGGCTGTCAGAGTTGAGGATATGGTGATGGTTTTGTGGTAGTCCAGTTTTTTAATTGATTGTGGTTGGAAGGTGAGGTCTGCAATTGAAGTGGTTTTACATTGGTTTTGTTCCAGTTCTAGCCATTGATTGTTGTGTTTTTCTTTTTGCATCCATTTGAATGAATATTGTAATTGATTTGACAGATGGTAGTAGAGAAAGTTTGGTGCTTCGAGGCCGCCCTGTGACTTATGGTTTTGTAATGTTTTTAATGAAATTCTAGCTTTTTTGTTTTTCTATTAAAATTGTGATGATAGTGAGTCTATTGATTTAAACCATTTGTCAGTGGGTGTAATGGGAAGCATTGAGAATAAATAATTAATCTGTGGTAGGGTTTTCATTTTAACTGTGGCGATTCATCCAATGAGAGTGAGTGGTAGTTTGGTCCAATGCTTAAAGTCATCCTCTATTTTTTATGGTATAGTGAGAGATGGAAGAAAAATTGGTAATAATATTGAAGGTTTCTTGTAATGACGTTGAAGGGTTTTGAAGGTGTAACAATAAATCGTCTGCATAAAGGCTTATTTTATGCTCTGCTTGTTCACTGTAGATTCCTTTAATGTTATTGTTATGTCTTATTGCTGCTGCGAGTGGTTCGATGAAAACTGCAAATAGGGCTGGAGAGAGTGGACATCCTTGTCTGGTCCCTTGGTGTAAGTGTGAAGTTCGGTGAAGTGATCCCATTTGTGATTATTGTGGCCTTAGGTGATGTGTATAGTGTTCTTACCCAGTGGATGAACGACTCCAAAACCAAACTTGCGTAAGGCGCAGAATAAGAATGTTATTAAAGCGCAGTTAACTTTGTCAAAGGCCTTTTCTGCATCCAATGAGACGATCATGTCCTGTTTTTGTTGTGATATGTGGATTCAGTTGAAAAGCCTGCGGAAGTTATTTTAATCTGTTTTTGATAAAACCAGTTGGGTCGGGTGGATTATCATTTGAATGACTGTCTCTATTCTTGTTAGTGTTTTTGTAATAATTTTTAAATCAGTGTTGATAAGTGAGAGGGCGCGGTAGCTGGAGGGGTGGGTTGGGTCCTTATTGGGTTTCAAAAGTAGTGTCATTACAGCGGTGTTCATGTGTGTGGGTATGTTGGAGGTTGCTTTCACTTCTGTAGTAACTCTATGGAATAGTGGTGATAGTATGTCCCAAAAAATTCTGCAGGAAGTCCGTCTGGTCCAGGAGATTTATTGTGTAGTTCATCAGGTGTGTCTAGAAAGTTGGCTTGTTCTGATGGCAGGGTTGGTAGTTCTAGGTTATTTAGAAAGGTGTCTATTTCTGATTGGTTGGGTTCATGATTGGGGGAGTACAAGTTGCTGTAAAATGTATAAGATATTTATTTATGTCTTCTGGGTTATGGGTGATGGTGCCGTCAGTGTTGAGTATAGATGGGATTATTGCTTTTTCCTTTTTGAATTGTAGAAGATTAGCCAGGTATTTGCCTGATTTGTTACTGTATTGAAAGTTTTCATATTTGAGCTGTTGGATAATGAACTGTGTTTTTGTATGTATGTATGATGCTTTCCAGTTGGCATTTAAGTTGACTCAATTCATTTTGTGTTTGTTCACTGGGTAAAATAAGGGTGTTGTAGAAGTGATGTATTAAAGTGCCATCTTGTGGGCGGCTTGATGTGTGATTTGACGTTAATTGATAGGGAGACTGGAGCGTGATCACTGATTATGATGGGATGAATTGTATTTTCTCTAATGTGTCGGGAGAGTGAATTACTTGCGAGGAAGAAATCTATTCTGGAGGAAGATTGGGGGATGGGTGAAAAGTAAGAATATTCTCTGGATGATGGATTTCTCATTATCCGAAGTCCAAGATTAATCATGTATTGCTTAAGTATTTCAGTGGAGTGCCAGATTCTTGAGTTAGCGTACAAACTGAGGAGACCCGGAACATCACATTCTGTGGCAACATCACAGTGATATGCCCCATGGTTCCAGATCTCAGACAGTTTAACTCATGGTCTGAATTGTTGAATGCCACTTATCAGTCCATTCACGGGGTGGCTGCTCCACCTAT